CTGACTTTGTGGTTTGCAGCCCGAATCGTAACCACTACACTACCAATACTGACCTACCTATTATAAAATATATATATAAAATACAATATTGACCTACCTATTATATTATAAAATATGATAGGTAGGTCAGTATTGTTGTTGGATATTGTCCAGTTGGATGAAACACTGTCAGTCCTGCCCCACCTTCACAATCTTTCCTATATTTGAATTTAAATAAGTGTGGTTATTTTTCTGTTATGTTTGATGAAAGTACATGCTGCAGAACATACACTCATGCATCGATTTCACACATACAATTCGGTTACACTGGTGGCATTCTTCACGTGTGTCACCATTCTCGATAGTTCTCCCCACGTAGCTTCACCACCATTGTCTAAGACACACCACTCCTTACATTCCTCATCCGTGCTTCAGAGTTACTTTTCAGAATTTGATCTCAGGTAGAACATTCTTTAAATCGGTGCAGTTGTCATGCTGAACATTCCTTACTGATTTAGCTAGATAGCTACAGAGGATCCTTTTGGTTCATGATTGAAGAGTTGATCATAGTGATAGATCCAGAGGTTCATTCAGTATCAGTATGTCCAGTAAGAATTTGCATTCTGTAAGAATTTGAAATTCTATTCAACAGTTTTTCTTTTTCTTCTTCTTTTTTTTTTTTCTTCTTCTTCAAGTTTTTATTGTGAATTGAGTGGTAGTTTACATGGGAGAACATCAGCTTTACATTCATCCTATTGTATTTCATTTCATTGCAATGATTACAATCCCCTCCATGCATCACCATTCAACAATATTTGCTTTTATTCCCAGTGTGTTTTTTTTTGGGGGGGGAGGCAGTGTACACTGAAACACTCAGGAATATATAACCATTCAGACAACCCTGCAAGCCTGCCCCCCCAGCTGCCAGCACACAGCCCTTGTGCCATTTAGTTGGTTCTGACTCCTAGCAGCCTAGTACAGGGTTCCCAGGGGTGTAAATCCATACAGGAGCAGACAGTTTCATCTTTCTCCCAGGAAACCACATGCTAGGTTTGAGCTGCCGAACTTAGCAGTCCGGTGCTTACTCTGCACCACCCAGTTCTTTAGCAGCTTGTGGGCTTGAACTACCAACCTCATGGTTTGCAGTCCATTGCTGATCCTACAGCACCATACCAGGAGTCAGAATCGACTCGGTAATGGCAGTGGGCCCCTTGAAGCAAGATACGGCCATGTGACCAACATTGGCCAATGAAATGTGAGCAAGCATGCCCTGTGTGACTTCCAGGTGGTGTGTGATTTGCCACTTTGCCCACTTCCTCCCATGGAAAGCTGAGACACTGCAGAGGTGGCATCTTCATTAGCCTGGGTTTAAGGGTGAGGACATATGGAGTCAAATCCCAGTAGACCTGTAGTGAAGCTGTAGTGTGAGCAGAAAATAAATCTGTATGGTTTAATACCACTGTGATTTGAGGGTGTTTGTTTTGGTAACAAAACTTATTCTATTCCATCTGATATGATGCTATTTCTTCTTTTTACATTTTTTTTTTTTTTTCTTTTTAAGAAGAAATTCCCAGACATTAATTACTGAGTCTGTGGCCCCTGGAAAAACAACCGAATTTGCTTTCTGAAAATTATACTAGTTTGCAGCCCTGCTGCTGTTGTTGTGGTTAGGTGCTGTCAAGTCAGTTCAGACTCACAGCAACACTGTGTGTAACCGAGTGATGGTCTCCCTGACAACATGTCTAAAGCGCGAGAGACCAAGTCCCCACAGAGATGCTTTTTAGGAACATTCTGGCTGTATGTCTTCCACAACAGATTTGTTTGTTCTTCTGGCAGCCCATGATACTTTCAGTATTCTTCACCAACACCATCATTCAAATGCATCTGTTCTTCCCTATTCATTGTCTAGCTTTTATATGCATATGAGGAGAGGAAAATACCAGGGTGTACTTTAGTCCTCAAACTAATATCTTTGCTTTTGAATACTTTAAAGAGATCTTTTGCAGCAGATTTGCCTAATGTGTTGAACACATTTAATTTTTTGGCTGATGTTTCCATGAGCTTTGATTGTGGATCTAAGTAAAATGAAATATTTGACAACTTCAATCTTTTCTCCATTTATCATGATGTTATTATTGACTGACCCTGTTGTGAGGATTTTAATTTTCTATACATCGAGGTGAAATTCACACTGATGATTGTAGTCCAGATCATCAGCAAGTACTTCAAGTCCTCTTAGCTCTCAACAAGCAAGGATGTGTCACTGCATATCTCATGTTGTTAATGAGTCTGCCTCCAATCCTTCAGAGAATCCTGTTTCCTGGTGTTTTTCAGGAGCTCAGCTCCTGGCAAATTCCCTTTTGATTCCGAGAGGCCGTGAGGCCTCACCAAGAGGCTTCATACCACTTTAGTGTCTGCGATGGCAGCCAGGCAGATGAGTGTTTCTCTGACTCTTCCTTCAGGAGAATCCACATTGTACCCCAGTCCTGCCGGGGCTGACATAGGAAGTAGGCTGCCAGTTGTTACATAATTGACTTGCATAAATGGGTTCCATGCTGCAGGTGGTCCCCAAGGCAGATGGGGCAAAGCTGTAAACGAGGCCATTTGCAGAGTAAACAAGACCACCTACAAGGCCATTGGCAAAGTATGAAATCATTAAGGAGCTATTAGGATGATTATATATTCCCAAGTGCTTCTGTATACATCCAAAAAAAAAAAAAAAAAAAAAAAAGCCAGAGGGAATAGAAGTAAATACTGTTGAATGATGATGCACGGAGGGGATTGTAATCATTGCAATGAAATGAAATAGGATAAGATGAATGTTAAGCTGATGTTCTCCCATGTAAACTATCACTCAATTCACAATAAAAACTTTAAAAAATACAGAAGAAGTTATTAGGAGGCAAGTACAAGAGTATGATGAAGTGAACATCCTGGTATAGGTCAGACACACAGCTCCAGAAGCATGTATACTTCTCTGATGCCAGGATTATTTGCTCATCATCCATATGGACTATGTGTGATGAAAGAATACAACCCTGACGCACAGTTTTTCTGATTTCAAACCATTAAGTATCTCCCTGTGCTGTTGTAATTGCCTCGTGATCTATGGATGGATCCTTGCTGGTAGTGATTTTGTGCTGTGGAGTTGATTCCAACTCAGAGGCCCTGTGTTGGGGTTCTAAGACTGTGCATATTTACACAAGCAGAATGCTTCATTGTTCTCTCATGGAGTGACAGGTAGATTCAAACTGCTGATCCTGTGGTTAGCAGGCCATCTCACAATCTACCTATGGATCCCCACTAGTCATAAACAATACCAAATTGGTCACATTCTTGCAAAACAATTTGCTCATTTCATAGGTGAACAATGCCATGTTTTAATTTTCTCAAAACACTCATTTCTCTTTGCAGTATTCCAAGGATAGTTCGGGGGTGATTTACGTCATGCTTAATGGTTCAGATCCAAATGGAGCCTATCCTATCAAGGGGTAAGAACACTGGTATTGACAAAGAATGCCGAAAGGTTCATGTGGTGGTGGTGATGGTTGTTGGGAACCACCAAGTCTGCTCTGACTCATAGCCACCCTATATTAGGTCTTTACAAGAGCAGAAAGCCTCATCTTTCATGTGGTGGTGGTGATGGTTGTTGTGAACCACCAAGTCAGCTCTGACTCATAGCCACCCTGTATAGGGTTTTCAAGGCTATATGTCTTTTCAGGAGCAGAAAGCCTCATCTTTCTCCCTCAGAGAGGGAGAAGTATGGTTAAAGAATACAACCTTGTCACACACCTTTTTGAATTTGAAACCAGTGTCCCATGTTCTGTTCCAACAACTGCTTCTTGGTCCATGTACAGATTCCTCATGAATACAATTAAGTGTTCAGAAATACTCATACTTCACAATGTTGTCCATAGCTGGTCATGATCCACACAATCGAAAGTCAATAAAGCACAGGTAAACTATAGTATATAAAGATTACATAATAATACTACCTAGCCAATTGAGAACCTTTAGTCATAAGAACCATCATCATAAGTTTTCTGGAAATAAGTTCTAGTAAGAATTAAATATTTAAAAGGTGAAATGTTTATTTTAACTTTAGCAGGATCTGTTTTTCATTGTTAGGAAAAGGTTTGATAATATTAAAGCAAAAGTTGCTAAATAGAGTGGAGTCTAGATAACTTAAACTGGACTCCTGAGTTCAAACTTACAGGTAGTTTTTTTTTTTTTTTTTT